ACTGATCTGTCTGTTCCATTTCATTCAGATCTCGATTCTCCTCTTTCAGCACCAGCAGGTCTAAAGCAAAAAAAGATAAATACAAGTTAACCACAGTTTAAAGCCACAAAGCAAAAGATGTGAAAAGCAACATAAAAGCATTTAAGGCCAGGACACACCAAGCCGACTTCAAACAACTAGCGGCCACAAAAGCCGATGGTGTTGTCTCCTTGCGTCGGCAGCATCTGGACCAAAAAGCTGCGATTGAACACACCATACAGACCACAGCCAACTGCAAACTAACACGTGCATTCTGTGCGAGAACAATTAGCTGTCTATCAGCAGCTATCAATAGTATGTATTAGCCATTCAAAAAGGAGAAACCGAAACAAGAATATACAAGATATATGAAACGTAAACAAAGCAGCGCTTGCTTACCATTTTGAATATCAGTTATGTTGATAACTTTATTCATTTTTAGCCGCTCATGTTGTTATGAATATATTCACATACTTGGGTAAGATCACGTAACATTAGAACAGCCCTCAGTCTGTGCCGCCTTCATTTACTGGTTTTCATCACTTTCACTTGAATTCTCGGGCACTGACTCGTTCACTAAACTGAACTTCCAATCAGAGTTCTCACTCTCGCCGACGGCCCTGAGGCCGATTCAGTATGTTAAATTGGGCAAAATACCACCGACCTAGAGGTCTGCTACCCGATCTGAGTCCAACAGGTCTCTAAATATTCTTGGGTTTGGGTCTAGCTTGTAGCTAAACTAAAACTGTATGCAGTAGGTTACGATGCTTTCATAGATGCATGCATACACACATAACTGAACACAGATATCTTTATCTCTTTTATCTCCTTGCACTGGCTACCGGTTGCAGCTCGCATCAAGTTCAAGACATTGATGCTTGCATATAGAACAGCCACAGGCTCAGCTAAGCTTTATTGCTGGTAGAGAGAGATGCGCAGATGCAGGTAATTCACACACGCAACTTTCATCCCTCTTTGTCGCATGCACTAATTATTTCAAATAAATGATATAATTAATTCATTCAAATAAATGTGATCTTACCTCACTACTTCCCCTCTGTGTCTGATTTAAAGCCGGCAGAATGCTAACGAGCCATAACTGATGAAAATTACAGTATTTTTTACTGTTTGCCTCCAAGTCCTATATTAAAATATTAAGGCATATGCTAGCTGTGGATTATCCCTTACATTTAATGTGTGCATGCCGTTTCTTGTTATATATTACAAGCTCTATTTAAAATGAAACTTGTTTTGCTCTTGTAACTGATCTAGCGATCTGTCACAACATGGCAAATAGCATGCACACATAAACTGGTAGTGAGCAATTACTGAGATAAAGCAATTAGGAAAACTACTTACAGTTTACTAGCGAAACTGCACGGTGGAAGAATTGTCATATTTTCATTACAACCATTAAAAAACTTGGCGGAATTTATGTGACCGTTGCACCTGTTGTTCATAAACTTTCATAACTGGTGTTTTTTACTTTTGTCTTGTGTGCTGAACTGGCCGTGAGCCTTCATGAATCTGTTTCTTTGCATGTATTTCTTTACTTACTGTTGAATGTTGAATGAACAGTGTGAATTCAAGCCAGAATTTACCTCAGAAGAAGACGCGCTGAGAGGAATAAGCCAGAACTTACCTCAGAAGACGACGTGCTGAGAGGAAAAAGACAGAATTTACCTCAGAAGACGACGCGCTGAGAGGAATAAGCCAGAATTTACCTCAGAAGAAGATGCGCTGAGAGGAATAAGCCAGAATTTACCTCAGAAGAAGACGCGCTGAGAGGAATAAGCCAGAAATTACCTCAGAAGAAGACGCGCTGACAGGAATAAGCCAGAAATTAGAATTTACCTAGACGCGCTGAGAGGAATTTACCTTAGAAGACGACGCGCTGAGAGGAATAAGCCAGAATTCAGAATTTAAGAAGACGCGCTGAGAGGAATAAGCCTTATGTTTACCTCAGAAGAAGAACACGATGCGACGCGTGGCTTGATCAGTGGAGGAGATCATTTCTGATGAGTAAGTCATGTTTTATTACTTGCATTACTTGTTATTCTGTTATATTGTGGCTTTA